GTCCGTTGGTTTCTTCTCTCTCCATCGTTAACCAGTCCGACGATCTCGTATGTACTTCACTCTTCCGGTGATTCGTTTTGCTGGGAGATATCGAAGGCTCCAGTTGGACTGCTTCTCTTCCTTCCTTCCTCTTCTGGTTTGCGCAGAGGACGGCAACCTGCTACGACTCCCGCAATGTTAGTCTCTTATTCACAAGTCGGGTGGCGTGTAAGTCGGAATATATTAGCAGATTGGCTTATCGTATTCAGCAGTTATGGCTTCGTAATTATGGCTTCGTAATTATTTTTCCGTTCTTCAGCCGTTATGGCTTTGTAATTATTTTTCCGTTTGCCTCGGTAAAGTATTACTACCTCCGTCCCAAAAAGAGTTGCAAATTTGACTTTTCTTAATCAAACAGTCTTGTTTTATTCACTTTATTAGGATGTCAATTTTTATTTATATTCTAATTTGGAGTTTACAACTTTGAAGAGATTTTAATGTAGTTTTTGAATATGTAAATTCCATTTGTTAAAAATTGAATTGATTATCAATACGGAGGGTTGACATTTATTATTGGTTGACAAAAAATTGTTGACTTTTCAAAACAAATTGGGACGGAGTAGTACGTACTTCGTATTATACGCACGGCGCATGGCCTTACAGCTACCCCATTCGTTAGTTTGTAAGAGTAAGTTATGGGTGTGTGTTTGGTAACTATATGTATTATGTATGATGTATGATGTGTGTATTATGTAAGACGTATGATGTGTGTTAATAGTGCATGGATGTTATATACTACGTATTCAACTTGTTATTCATTTTAAGTTTTACATGCCAATAGTGCATGGATGTTTGACTTGGTCCAACTTTTCGTTTGTTATTATTTGTAAAATTTTAATGTACATGAATTTTGTACACATTGCCCTAACCAACACCTTCTTCATATGTACTTTATTTCATTTAATCAGACTAATCATATTTGATTTATTTCTCTTATAGATAATATCTAGTTTATTTTTATCACATACCGGCCTTTTTTTAAATATTATGGTGTCACAAACTCCTACTTCACTATTTGAAACAAATTTGTTAAAGTTTGACTACAAAAATTCTTTAGTTGCAAATTTAGTACACGATTCTACTTTTCTTAGTATTTGTGCCAAATAAGTTTCAAATTTGATCGAAGAGAGGTAGCAATAGTGTACGAGTAGCATTTAATTATATACATGTGTTACCATTACTTTTGACGTTAAACATCTAGCACTTACCAAATTAGCATTGCAATGCCACTAAACAACAAACACATTACGATTACCACCCCATACCATATTGTGTTTTCAATTAGAAACAGAAAATGTAAACATCATGTTATAATCCAATTAGGAGCCAATGTATGGCAATAATATAGTTACTCTCAATTACCATAATTTACTCAGTAATGTGATTAATCATGTTGTTTTCTTTTTAATTATTGGATTCATTTTAATCATGTCTAGTTTTTGTTATGCAAAAGCAGTAAATCACACACATAATGATAGCATTGATTCAACCTCTCATAAGATCTATTTATATAGAAAACCAGGAGCATTTTTGGTGATTTTTCCCGCCCAAATAGAGGGTTAAAATTGGACTTTGGCATGGGGGAGTGGTTTTCTATTGGGCACTGCAATAGTGGTTCACTGCATAACTTTTCAATGCACAGAGCATGTGGGAGTATGGGAGTACACAAATACAAAGTAACGGAAACATCAAATAAATTCGTATATACGGAGTATTGTTGTGCAACTTTACATTTAAAAAATGAAAATAACTTTTTCATCTGTGTTCCAACAATTTAAAAATGATATCAAATTAAATACTCCCTCCGATTCCTAAAGAAGTTCCACAATTGACTTCACACATATTAAGAAAATAAATTTGACTTTACTGTGGAGTGCACTGTTTGGCACTGTTTGAACACTGTTTGACACTGTTTGACACTGTTTTGATGTAGATAATAAGGAAATGTTTGAAAGTGGAACTTAATTTTGAATCTGCCCGAAAAGGAAAGGTGGAACTTGTTTCAGAAACGGATGTAGTATTTTTTTACGATCTTTCATATGACACTAATATTGAATGTGTAAAATTAAAAAATATCACTTCATTTGTTCCTAAATTATCTTCCAAAATAGATTTTGCACGAGATTTAATGGAAATTGTGTGGTGGAGAGTTGTGCAAAGGAAAGACAAACATGTAAAAATGTGAAAGAAATTTAAAAGATATTCAGGGACAGTGGCCAGAAGTAGAGGGGTGTTTGGGGTGCACCAACCCCTGCAGTGATTTTTTTCTTTTAAAATATATATATATATATATATATATATATATATATATATATATATATATATATATATATATATATATATATATATATATATATATATTATTTCATGAATTAGCCCTTGCAGCCCACATACTTAAGTCCAAATTTTAGAGGCATATCAAGTTGCATGCCTTGTCGAATTGCCAAAGTTCTTCCCTTTCCTATTTGTGCCCTTGCAAGCTCCTCGAGGTGGTTCTGCCACTGTTCAAGGATAGAGAGAATAGTAAATATTATGGATTAGGTAAAAAAAATAGTTTCATTACAATTTACACATGAATATAACTTTAGGTGTTGGTAACAAAATTAGTTCATTAATTGTCTACATGGTGCGTACAATAAGTTTATTTTTCTAATTTAGAGTCGTGGTGTCGTTAATTAAATTAATGAATTCAAAGGGAACCACCTCTTGGTCACACATATTTTTGATAATATATACAAAATTAGCCCATCATATGAATTAAACTCGGATCTGTGACCTCTTGGTCACACAACATTATCAAAACCGGTGCGCCCAAGCTCCCATGTGTATAATACTACATAATTTTTATACTATATTAATACATACTACGTTTGGATTCAAACTATTGTTTTTTCCTACTAAACGTTAACAACATCATGCTTTTGAGGTATTATATTTTTACTTTTATATAATGCAGTTTGTAATTGCACAAATAACATTCACTCCATACAAATACTAACATTAATTTTAGTTATTTATTATTCCATCATCTATGTGTAGCACGAGTGAAAATCTAGTTCTAGAAAATAAGCTTTTTTCCCTCATGTAGTTGGTTAAAAACCATTTTTTATCCAAGTTGTCACTACTAATAGGCATGGACCAAGACAGGGCCGGGCTTGGGAGGGCTCCGCGTCCAAAATAATCAGGTTCGATACCGGCTCGAGTCAGGCTCCAAATATATATTTTGGTGTATTTTCAAATTTATTCCAACCCTCCCATCCCCCATCCCCAACCCCCCAAACCACTCAGCCCCACCCACCTAGCAAGCAACCCAATGCCAAAAAATTGAAAGAAAAATAATAACGCCAAGATTAGGCATGGCAATGGGTCGGGGCGGGGTGGGTATTGCAAGATCCGGACCCGCCCCGTTACTTGGCGGGGCGGGTCCGCCCCGTGACCTGCACGGGTCCAAATTTGTTGACCCATGACCCGCCCCACCGTAACCTAATTAGCTAGTGTGTATTTTTTTGTGGGAAGTTGTTACCAATTATATCTACATAATGTTTATCTCTAAATAATAATTAAAAATCAATATATTAAATCAAATTCATGATACGCTAAAAATTTCAAAAATTAAGGAAAAATTACTCAAACTTGAATAGTTAATCTTATTAGTTATATTAATAATTGAATATATGTATTAAAATTCTATATATAAAGAAGACATTGATAATCCGTCGTGCATCTCATTATAATATATACTCCGTATTCTTATATTATAAGATCAAAGAATTTATTATTTATTGTATATACACATATGTATGTTTGAAGTATATTTGTAGAATTGTAGTACTATAATTTAAGAAAACGTATGTGTACTAATATATTCAGCGGGTCGGGTCGGGTCGGGTCAGGGCGGCACGGGTCAATTCTAATACCCGGACCCGCCCCATTGTATAGGTGGGGCAGGGCAGACCCGCCCCATTTGCAAGACGGGGCGGGGCGGACCCGCCCCAAATGTCTCGGGCTAGGGCGGGTCATTGCGGGTCGATTTTTTTTGACATCCCTAGCCAAGATCGAGCCCAGACCGATTAGGCCGGTCCACAATTTCCGAAGCCCGTAGCCTGTAGCCCGCCTCAATCCCTCCCGATTCAGGGCCCAGTCCCGATACCGGTTGACCGGGCTGGGTCGGGCCTGCACAGTACCGGTCCGGGTCCCGGGTCGGGCTGATCCATCCCTGTCCATCCCTTACCACTAGGTCCACTAGTAGCTGATTAGGAAAGACGCCCACATACACAAAAGTTAGACTATAAAGTCACACCACACATGTTATTCACATATAAGAACATAATGTATAACAAGTTATACTATATATAGAGTATATTACTTATAAATAAAAACAAAGAATTTGATTATTGAAAAGGTTTAATATCCATCTCAAATAAGTAATTATTTGACATTTTGACTTAATCGGTACAAAAGCATAAATGCACATAAAAGCTGAGCTATTGTAATTTGTAAAGACAGATGTTAGGTAGCTGCGTAGTAAAAAAATGGTCAACTGATTTAAAAGCAACTAGCTAGGTGTTCAACTAGGATGCTATAGATGAATATATACGTAATACAAGCTATACAACATTCAAACTTGAGATGAAAACTACAAAGATGAATTACGCGAGAAAGACACACAAGGGCAAGTAGAGTACACGAGGCACCATGGAGACTTCGACTGGGCATGGCTAAGCTCCTACATTGCCAGAATCCCAGGGCGCCTAGGCAGCGCTATGATAATCATTATTTTTTCACACTTTCTATTTAACATCATTCACACCAGATCTATTAACTCATCTCCCATACTCTCAAGCATATAGTCATCTGACAATGGGGCTCATACGGCTACAGCCTACAACACCACATTTTCGTCTAATTGTATGTTTAAAGCCACATTTGGTGGCATTAATCAACTAATTTTGCACACGATAAGAAAATACACATAATAAACATTGGTAACATGCTCTCAAGTCTTTAAAGACCATCAATACTGATCTTCCAATCGTTTAACCCCCCCAATCACCTAAAGAAAAAACCCCATCCGAAATAGGGCATTAAAGAAACAGGAAGGAGACTAGGAGTGTAGGCTTTAGCTACCCCCAAGAACATGGAATCACATCTCTGCCACAAGTAAAAGAAAATTACATCCTACTTTATCTGCAACAGATTAACAATAGTTTATACACAAACAAGAGCATACAAATATGATTCATGTGGCGAAGGGGCAAAGGGGTTATGCCATATCATGTCCATAACATAAATGAATGACCTTGGCCGAAGATTTAAACATCTTCAAATCGTCTTACTTGTGGGACTTGTGTCTCTTTGAATCTCTCTTTTCATCCTTCTCTCTTGATTTGCTCTTAGATTTATGTTTCCCACAATGCCATTTGTCTCGTCTGACCTTCTTTGATATTTTTACCGTAACATCATCACCATCTGAAGATTTTGAGGAGTTCAGCCATAGAGGTCTTTCTGAGTGGACAATAGAATGGCCTCTGAACTCAAGGCCTGCCAATGATTTCACTTCATAGTCTGAACACGGGTAAGGGCCAGTTTCATCCATGTGAGATCCAATTGTCCCCCTTCCCCGCTTAGCTCTGCAAGACAATTTTTATTAGCTCAGCACAAAGGGTGGGAAGAGCCAGCATTTAATTTCTAGGGCTTTTACTTCAATAGATAATATTGTAAATGCAAATTCTTTTGAAGAAAAATAACCACGTTTGATGTTAATATGTTATGTTAGAAAGTTGTAACTGAACTCCATGAAAGCTACTTTGAAGTCTTTGTCTAGCCTAGAAAGCACTTCTACACAAGCGCCCCCATAGTTAGGTTCACTTTCTAGCAAAATTTTGCTAAAGGTGTTCCCTTTTAAACTTCAAGGGAAAATGAGCATGTTTGCCCCACCCTCATGCAATGAATGATTTATACCTAGGTAATACATAGAAAAATCACAATACACATAACCAAGAGGGCCCATCTCAAGGTTTTCAGTGCCCAATGCATTAATGAAAACAGACCCAAAATATACATCTAATTGACAATATCCAATTATATGGTAGGGGTTTTAAATGGACCCTTAAATGCTCGCTTAAAATTTAAAATTGATTGAAATAAATGAGGAGAGGGGAGAAAGAAGCCTAACCTCTAACACAAGCTAAAATATTATTTATGCAATTTAGTAAAAAATCATACAATACATGTATTTGATTAAATTCAGATCAACACAAGTTTTTGAATTGTCCCAGTAACAATGTTTTTTAATTGGACTAAAATCTTCTGATCTTGCACGGTTTGTTCAAGTCTAGTTTGGTCTGATCTGAACTGCTTTGGTTTAGTAGATCTTTGTCCTGTGTATTTGTCAAAGTTTAATCTGGTCTGGGACCGAAAGCAGTCCAGGTAAAAACATTCTACTTAGTTTTTTAAGCTTTTTTATCACCCCTATCTAAGATGGCTCCAACTGCTAGATAAACAGAACAAGAGGTTATAGACTTATAGTAATCAAGTACAAAGAAAAGCAAAGGAAATTGCAATGAATTATTAATGGTCTGACCTTGAATGTAAAAAATCATCAACTTCATCATCCCGCAATCCTTCCTCCTCCCATGAGTAGTAATCCTCGGTGTGTCTCTTTTTAAACGAGCATGAAGCACTTGAAACAGAGCCACCATCATTGTGCTTCTTATCGTTGACCCTAGATTCTGCATCACCTCTTTGATTCTTTGCACAACTATTCTCATTATCCGATCTACGTTTGTTCCGACTCTCAATATCCAACTCTTTCTGTCTTAATCTCCACATCTCATCTACTTCAACGGCTCGATTGGCTGCCATGAGAAACCCAATAATATAAATAAAAAATGAAAGAAACAACTACTAGCTCCATCCCCAAAAAAGAACCCGATTTGCAAACTTATGTTTTTCCCAAAATAAAGAATCTATATGAACAAAAGAACCTAATTTGGTACTCACTATATATTCGTAGTTAATTTATTGTTTGAAAAAAAGTATCCCAAAGAAGTTAAGTATGATACGGAATATATTTAGTAAAACCAGCATACAAATAATTGATAATTTTCGACAATTGAACACTTGCATTTCTAAAGTTTAAAGTTGTTTTTTGTGAAAGGAGACATTTTTTGGAGGGATACTAAATAGTGATGTTTATCTAGAATATTTTAAATACGAATAAGCTATAAGTGTTCTACAGAAATATCTACTAGAGAGTTCCTATGTATAATATGTAGTGTAGAATAATAAGAGGATAATTGTAAAATGTTCTAGATTTTTAGCATTTAATAAGGATCTAGAAAGATCTTTTAACACCTATAAATAGTACTATTGTACCAATTTGTTTACCAAGAAAGGCTAATGCAATCCAAATATTCTAGAGACAAGAAATCAAGCTAAAACTTCTCTATTTTACAAAACATACACACTATACCTCACTAAAATCACTTATCATATTCATACACCGACAATCACTTCTATTTTCTAACACGGGAGAGTAAAATAAAATCAAATAAAATAAAAGCCACAATGATTAGGGTATGATTTCACGCCACAACACGTACCATTTGACAAGGTATGATTCATAAATAGTCTCATGAGTCACAAACACGTAAGTGCCAAATGCCTCTACATTCACAACATATTATATCTTTAACAACAAAAAATTGAAAGAGATTTACCTTGTTGTATGCCAAGCACAGTTGCGGTAAGAAATCTTGAATTAGGGCGCCCCCTAACCGTAGGTTTGCAAAGATAAGCAAGTGCACCCTCTTTATCAGCTTGCCGCCTTAACTCTGCAGCTTCTTTTAAGAGAATTGCAGCAATTTTATTTTCGGTTGCCAAATCCATAGCAAATGCCCTCTGCTGGTGAAAAGAACAGAAAAGAGTAACTAAACAAAGCATAATATATAAATAATTAATTACAGTTTTGGTCGTACAAGTATTATGTCAATCCCACATTTGACGGTTTTTCATATGGCCAACTTTTTATTACATTATTATTGTTTCTTGTCCATTTGGGGTCCTTCTGGCCAAATTTTTGATACCTCTCTGGCAATTTTAAGCGCATGGAATATTGAAGGGGAAATATTGAAAGGGATGGAGGCGGGCAATAAACAACTCATGCATCAAATTGGCCAAATCCAAAAACGTAGAGCAAATGTGAAATTGTGACAATATTCTAAGGGAAAACAGACTTATTGAAAGCGAAAAGCGGAAAAAAGTGATGAGGTTGGGCTTTTAATAAAGCGAAGCGTTGCTTTCTCACAACAAGCGACGCTCATAGAATATAAAAAATAAATTATATAGAAATTCCCCTAAAGAAAAGTAAAAACGTTTGAGATTCCAAAATAGAATTGTTATATTTTTATTTTCCAAATAGGAGTAATTACTGACAAGCTTTGAAAATATTGACACTTATGGCAGTATACTACTACGTTTAAAGTCCGGTCACGTCAAAACATGGCAGTAAATTTTCAAGATGACAGTAAAGTACTCTTATTTAGGGGGCAAACATAGCAACTAGGGGTGCAAAATGAGCCAAGTCATTCGTGAGCCGCTCGTGGATCGCTCGAAAAAACTCGACTCGACTCGAGTCTATTTATTTTAGGCTTGTGGCTCGCGAGCCGGTTTGCAAGCCTTGGTATGTGTGTATATAGATATATTATGTATAATAATTATATATATACTCCCTCAGTCCCAAATTGGAAGATACATTTACTATTCACTTGGTCAACATAAATCACTTTTAATCTTTTACTTTATCTATCAAAAGTTTATGAAATTTGAATTATTTTTGTAGGTTTTTTAGCGGTTTTAATGTAGTTTCTGAATATGTAAATTTTATTTTCTAAAACTAATTTGAGACGGAGGGAGTAATATTTTTTGAATATTTATTCTAATTTAGGATTACTCTATTTCTTATAGTTATGATATTATAATAGTAATAATTAAAAGTAATATTATTTATTATTATAACCATATGTAATAATTTAATCTATAAAAATACCTATTTATTTTTTCATTAGCTCATACAAATCAAGGTTAAGAACATTTTAAGATCATCACTAACATCATCGTGATTGTAGATCCGTTGGAAATTCGTTAGGCTTGAGGGTGATGCTGGCAACCTGAGTTCGAATCCCCTACTTGGCAGATTTTTGTAGTTCGCAAGTCTACAGCTCTATATCTATTTTAAACTTCTAAGATTATGCTTCCCACATCATAAAGTGAGGACAAGGTACCCCTGCTATCCATCTATAACGCCGCTCATCTTCCTTTAACTATCATGGCATAAGACAAGCAACACAAATGCAAGGTCTGCGATTAAAAGCCGAGTCGATCTCGAGCGCCTCGTGATCTTTATGCAAAGCTGTCGAGTCGAACTCGAGTTATAAAATTTAGGCTCGATCGAACTCAAGCCGAGCTCGAGCATTTAGAATAATTTCGAGCTCAAGTTCGAGCATATGTGAATTCGGGCTCGGATTGGCTCATTTGCACCCCTAATAGCAACCATATTTTGGGATTCTCGAACGTTTTTACTCCTATTTCGGGAATTTTAACACTATGATAGTAACAATAGCACAACACTAAATGTCTAAATAGAAAACATTTATCACATACTCCGTAATGTTTTAGCTTTATAAACTCTCACACTAAAAAATCAAATTGTAAGTTTTACTCATTGAATTCACAACAACAATCTAGGGAGCAATCTAGGGATATTTCAGAATTCAGAATTGACAATTCAAAATTCACCAGATCAACCTGAGTATCGATCTAAAGGACTAAAGGTCTAAAGCTGAATGCAAACTAAGTCACAATATTCACATTAAATCACAGATCACAATTCCTCAAACAAAATCTTAATTCAGAAATCAAGACAATCTGAAAAATCACGAGTAAATTTCAGAAATATAGGGAGCAATCTTTCTGAATTCACAACAACAAAAACCCTCAAATTCCAGAAATGAAGGCATAAAGGTGATCCAATACAAGATAACAATAAAACTTAATGTAAATTACATACCTGAAATCGGAAGATGAGCGACTTAGCGAGCAGGCAGGGGTACAGGCCGGAGGGGGCAGCCCGAGGGACTGCGTAGCGGGCGAGGGGCACAGGAACACGGGGCAGTAGGCAAACGGGACTGCGAAATACTATTCGCAGGACGACCGGCGATTCTGCCGATTCCGAGCTTTCCGGCGATGTGACAATCGACTACCGGCGTGAGTGCAGCAGGGATCAACTTGCCTTCAGGCCTTTGCTTTGTTTGGCTTTGCTTGGGCCGTTTGCTATTTTAATTGAGGCGACTAATCGTATTTAGAAAAAGGGGTATGATGAAATTGGGCCCGAAAATGCATCAAACCCTTGTCAAATTCTTCTATAAATAAATTTAATAGTCAAAAAAAAGAAAATGATTAATATTTTTATATGATTTTGAGATTTTGACATATTTACTTACATATTCAATCAAAATATTAGGAAAAGTGATTTCAAAATCATTAAATTTAATCATATAAGTGGTTCTCTTCATGTTTAATTAAAACATAAGGAGTATTGACGCATTTTTCAAATCACAAGGGGCTAATGCGCTGAATTTCTACATCATGAAGGTGTTTGGTTCATTAAACCTAGAAAAAAATCAAAAATATTGGGGACGTTTGGCAATTCGCAATTAGATGTTGATTGATTGACAACAATAATTTCTGTTGATTGTTTTGATTAACCGATAATATTAACGGTTTGTAAAGTGATGTTTAATAAAATGTTTGTTTACAATTGATATATCATTTTAAAGGACATCACTTAATTTTTTTATTTACTTTTTGGGGCAATAGTTTTTAGTTGTTGCTAATTCGAAACCTTACCAGTTACGCCTTATCTTACCATGAACAAAAATATTCAACTGCAAATGCTAATTTGAAAGAGTAATTTCAGTTTATTGCTACAAGAAGGGTTGGGAGTTTACTTGGCTCAAAACATCAAATGGAAGGTCTTTTGAACTGCACTTTTGAAGAATGAAAACGGATTGATCAATTATTTATACTTCCTCCATTTTTTTAGTTTGAACATTCTCTTTTTCACGTTTCACAATGCACTACGACGATTATTATATTTAATTCTCTATGAGTAAAAAACGTTTAAAACTTAGATTACGAAACTTCGTAATAAGACGAATTCAATGCATAGTAAAATTTTTCAAAAAAATAAGTAACATACATTAATAAATAAAATGTTGTCGAAGTAGAGTACATGAATAGTGTGTAAATTCCAATGTTGCAACTATTATGATAAAGAGGATAGCATATTTTTTATTCCATTCTTTCCATATATATATATATATAATATATATATATATAATATATATATATATATATATATATATATATATATATAATATATATATATATATATATATATATATATATATATATATATATATATGAAATTCCTGAAGTTTTTCCATGGAGTGCCCTAAAAATCCTCCTGCTTTAAGCATCAAAATTCAAAACAAGGGGAATTATAGTGCAACTTTGTTGTTTTTAATCCTCCGGCAGGTTCTGATCGTTTCAGAGTCACGAAATATTTATTTGTCCCGAACCAATCTATCGATTGAATCATAAAAGGTTTAATTTCTCCATGGTTGTTTTTTAGCGGATAAAATAGGAATTTGTCCCGGATAATACATCTGGTGAAAGATGTCGAAGTGACATAGCAGGATGAGAAGAGAACACTACGGATAAAATAGGAATTTACAGCAAATTCTCAAACGACCGAAGACTAAATGGTAGTTTTATTGGCATTTCCCGTTTTGGCCGTTTGGGATAAAAAGACAATGAAAAACCCACTTAACCAAACACCATTTTTAGTTCGTTATCTAGTCAAAAGGTCAAATATTAGCCAAATCAATCAAAAAATGGCTGATAGGCTGCTAATCAAACACCCTCATTGTAATCTCATATATAATTAACTCAAATATCACACAATTACACTTCCAAACACATATAAACTTTAAACTTGCTTTTTAGCTGGTAAACTCATGGCCTGTTTGTTTGGGGGTTAACCTAGGTTATTGCAGGTTTAATTTTTAGTTAACCTTGTTTGTTTGTGTTTTTTCAACAAGAACCTAGGTTATGGGTTAAACTCACATAACTCTCGAGAACCTGGAAAAACCTTAAATTGAAGAACATCTGAAGTGAGAGGTTTTGGAGGTTAAGTTCCTGTTTAACATAAAATAAATTGGAGTACCTTCATCAGGGCCAGTCCTGACAAAACAGAGACCTTGTGTAATACTTAAGAATTTGAGTACTTAGATTAAGTTAATGTTTCGGGACGAAACATCTTTTAAGGAGGGTAGAATGTGACACTTCAAAAATTTAAATAAAAATAAAAATAATTTTTAGTCAGATAAAATATTACAAAAATAACATTTTTGTAATTAATTGAGTCAGACAAAAAATTCAACAGTTGTAACATTCTAATCAGATAAAATTTTCAAAATTTATGATGTTTTAGTCAGATAAAAATACTTCAGTGATAAGAACATCATTTTAGTAAACAAGTGAACCAGACAGAAAATTTACATTTGCGACATTTTTAGTCTGATAAAAATGGCCCGATAATAGAAGTAACGTTTTAATATAAAATTAACTTTTATATCTATTTTTAAGTTAAGTATAATAATACACAAATACAAGAATATAATAAATAATATATAATAGAAACCTACTTCTAAACTACCTACGTATAATATATATATATATATATACTCCTATTCCTATAAACTAAGTACGTATATATATACTATACTCCTATTAAACTACTAAATCTACGTAACTACGTAATAATATGGTATTATACTCCTACATAACTACGTAATAATACTCCATACACTACGCCGTACAAACATATAACTCCACAGCATACGTAACTTCTACGCCGTACACTACACATATATATACATAAACCTCTTCACACCCAAAACAAAAAAAAACAACTCTCGATGGTCTGCGTGCAAAGGACGGCCAAGTTCCGTAAGCTTGATCCAACGCCTGAATTTGCACGAGCGGAGGAGAGGAAGATCATCGTCGCCGCATAGTTGCCGGACTGATTTTACGTCGGAGGAGGCTAGTGGGCCGGTACGGGAATCGCCGGAGAAGAAGAACCCCACCGTCGTACCCATGAAACGAAGGAGGCCATCGTTGCTGTCATATCTGAGGATGGAGCCTGCTGTTCGTCACCCGAGGAGAAGCGGAATCACCGCCGGACTGTTTCTTCGCCGGAGAAGAGGAGCTCGTGTGTCGGAAGAGGAGGGACCACGTTGATGTGTGGCTGGACCAATCTGTTGTCGCCGCCGCCTCACCGGAGCGTTGTCACCGTCGGGAGAAGAGTGCAGAGCCGGAATCCATCCCCTGTCTTCGCTCGTTGATCGCACGACGATACTGCTGCAGGTACGAAGAAGATGAAGTACGGGTTGTTATGTTATGTCTTTACTAAATGGGTTGCTTATTTTTTTGCTTGGCCGATCAAAATTAAAATGAAAATATATTAATAGTATGGAAATAATAAATAAATTGGACTAATTAATCTATTAAGAAGTACGTAGTACGTAAATTACTAATAGTAGAATTTTAATATTTTAGAAGGAAAAATTTGAAAAAGATCGAGATAGAAGTTTCGGTTAGGAGTTATCGGGACTTAAGGTAAGTTTCTCTGCCAATCCAAAATTGTTTCCTCGTATTATATGTTTATTATGCATTATGTGATTAAGTGTGAATTGTGAAATTTGTGTATGTGATTTTGAGAAGATATTATATATATGGTAGTTAAAAAGTATAAATCAAGTACTTTTGGGGTATTAAATATTTTTAAATACCTTCAAGACTTTTTAGAGAAATTAAGAAGTATTTTTGAAGTATTGTTAAGCGAAGATAAAATTTACATTTTCATAAGAAGATAGCATCTCAGGAGTAATCCGAGGTGTTGGTTTTTCCACGTCCGGATAAATGTGGAGGGTGATTAGAGCTACTACTACTAAGTACAGTTTAAGTTTCAAGCAAGATTTGGATCTATGATCCCTTTTAAGTAAGATTTGGATCTATGATCCCTTTTAAGTAAGATTTGGATCTATGATCCCTTTTAAGAAGAAGTTATAGTAGTAGTCCCTAATCATTCAAGAATTTTAGAATTGGGGTGGTTGGGTTCCGACCACTCGGGATGACTTACTACTCGGAGGGCTTGGAATCCCTTTTAGGGGGTGTGCACACTTAAGGTAGTCGTTTCGTTTCCAACAGAGCAGTTGTGGTACCGGCACTTGTTCGGGGTGGCCGTCCGTAACCACGGTCCACCGGGCTCTATCGAAAGGTTGAGCACCGCCCTTCTAAATTACTAGGAAGTTAGAGACGAAGTGATTTTCTTAAGAAGTACTAAGAGATTTTCAAAGAGAAGTTGAGGTTTTTAGTAAAGAAGTAATAAAAAAAAATTAAAGAGAAAAGTATTTTGGAAGAGTGCGTCATTTTTATATGATATTATATAAAAATCTATTTTTAGTCAAACCTGATTATTTTACGGGGTTGGGTAGTACTTACTTAGCTCTAAAGCTAATTTTTGTTATTTTTCTTGTCTCTCTCTTCTCCCTTAAATTTTATCAGGTGATGAGTTGGATACCTAGATGGATTGACGGATTGCTCGAGCTTGAGTGCGAATTAGAAGATGCTTTAGTTAAATCTAGTCATAAAACAAACATTTACTTATTATTACATTAGTTTTTATTGTTTTACTTTGAGTTGCCTGTGCATTCGGTTAAGAGATGACCGAATGTGGCGGTAACACTCATTTTCCTTTTAGACTTCCGCTGTATTTCTTCAAACTCTTTGATGAATGAATAAAGTATTTCTTTTAAATATATCAATGTTTTGGGCGGGAAATTTAGGGGTGTTACACCTTGTGCAACAATAAAATTTGGGCCCTTTTTCAAGTTGCAACACAAGCAAATTGCCTTAAAAATTTTACTAATAAATGTAATGATAAAAATAAAAATAGTCATTAATAACTTACAGTTTATTTAAAAAGAGACATTCTTATTTTTTAAGTCGTCAGTTATGACTCTTCTTTGTATGTTTAAATTGTTTTTTGCTAGAACAATACATCTTCCCGTCACATTTCCCTTGAAAAGTATTTAGCAAAGTTCCAGATGTACTCTCCATACTACTTTACTTATGACATTAATTAAGCTCTCATTCATATTTTAGGTAGGCAACCCTGATTCATTTTCCAAATAATAACATTATATTTCTCATTCCAAA